GAGGATGATTTTGTGTTAGTCACAGATGGAGGAGAGCCAGAGACATATGATGAGGCTATGTCACATGTGCACCGCGAGAAGTGGTACGATGCCATGCAAGATGAGATGACGTCCTTGCATGAGAACCACACATATGAGCTTGTAGAATTGCCTAAAGGCCAGAGAGCACTCAAGAACAAGTGGGTATACAGACTGAAGTGTGATGAGAGTAGCTCACAACCAAGGTGCAAGGCAAGATTGGTTGTGAAGGGTTTCAGTCAGAAGAAGGGCATAGATTTTGATGAGATATTTTCTCCAGTTGTGAAGATGACCTCTATTCGAGTTATACTTGGCTTAGTTGCTAGCATGGATTTGGAGATTGAGCAACTTGATGTGAAGACAGCATTTCTTCATGGTGACCTTGATAAGGAAATCTACATGGAACAACCTGAGGGCTTTCAGGTTAAGGGAAAGGAGAACTTAGTATGCCGTTTGAAGAAAAGTTTGTATGGTTTGAAGCAAGCACCTCGGCAGTGGTATAAGAAGTTTGAGTCCTTTATGATTGATCACGGCTTCCACAAAACACATGCTGATCATTGTGTGTTTGTGAAGAATTACTCCGAAGGTGACTTTCTTATTCTCCTTTTATATGTAGATGATATGCTGATTGTTGGACAGGACACCAAGAAGATTGCAAGCTTGAAGAAGTCATTGAGTAAGTCCTTTGCAATGAAGGACTTAGGCCCTGCTAAAGAGATTTTAGCCATGAGGATCACGCGGGATAGAAAGAACAAGAAACTTTGGCTATCCCAAGAGAGATACATTGAGAAGGTGCTTGGTAGATTCAACATGAGCAATGCTAAACCTGTGAGCTCTCCACTTGCAGGCCACATGAAGTTGAGTATGGACCATTGCCCTACAAGTGAGAAAGAAAAGCAAGAGATGAACAAGGTGCCTTATGCTTCAGCCGTGGGTAGTTTGATGTATGCCATGGTATGTACGAGGCAAGATATTGCACATTCAGTTGGGGTTGTTAGCCGCTACATGTCGAATCCGGGTAAAGAGCACTGGGCAGCCGTGAAATGGATTCTCAGATATCTTAGAGGTACCTCCAGAGTTTGTTTATGTTTTGGTATTGGACAACCTGTGTTAGATGGGTACACAGATGCAGATATGTCTGGAGATGTTGATACTGCAAAGTCTACATCGGGATACTTGATGACATTTGCTGGAGCTGCAGTTTCATGGCAATCAAGATTGCAGAAGTGTGTTGCTTTGTCCACTACTGAGGCAGAGTATATAGCAGTGTTGAGGCAGGCAAGGAGTTGTTATGGATGAGGAATTTTCTTGAGGAGCTTGGTTTGGAACAAGAAAATTATCTTCTTCATTGTGATTCACAAAGTGCCATCCACCTTGCCAAGAATGCCGCCTTTCATTCTCGAACCAAACACATTAAGAGAAGGTATCATTGGATTCGAGAAGCCGTGGAGGACAAGTCTTTTGAACTTGTGAAGATTCATACAAGTGAGAATTGCTCGGATATGTTGACCAAGACATTGCCGAAGGAGAAACTCGTGTTTTGTCGAGAGAA